CCCCGTGGCCGGGAGCGGAGGCACAGCCAGGGCGGCGCACAGCGCCCCCAGCGCTCCGGAGCCGGGCAGCAGCTGTCAGCCCCTCGCAGCGCTCCGCCCCAACCTCCCCGGGGCCTGCAGTGCCCCCTGCGGCCGGGAGGGGAATTGCAAGTTCGGCTGGGGGGGGGAGGCGGAGAGGTGGGCGGGCCCTTCATTCCCCCTCCCCCCACATTAGCACCATCCCAGCCTTGCTCCAGTTCAGGTGGTCATGTGTTGAGGAGTTTACGCTTACTCTCCTCAGACAACACCAAAGACTTTTTAAGAGGGTGGGGAGATGAGGCAAGGTACCTAAAAGATGCATATTTTGAGCTAACCCCAATAACCCATTGATGATCTATCCTAAAACTGTTACCCTCCCTGTTACCCGTTAGGAAATATCCACCCCATTGATCCATATGGGACACTACCTTCCTTCTTATTGGCCCATCAGTAGTTCAGTACTTGATAGGTTCCTTTCCCATTGGCCAATGCGTAACATCCATTGGGTGTGATTATGATTTCCATTGGCTAAAGACGAATGTGCCTTTAACATCTTAGTGTTCTGCCTTGAACCCACAGAGCTTCTTTCCTTTTCCAGTGGACCAATGTTACTGTTTTTGAAGATTTTAGCCAGGTGTGGCGGTGGCACATGCTCTTAACTCCAACACTCTGGAGGCAGAGGCAGGCAGATTTCTGAGACTGGAGGCCAACTTGGTCTATCTAGGGAGATTTAGGCCAGCCAGAGTAACGTAGTGAGACCCTGTCTTAAAAAACAAACAAAAACCCTTTTACAGTAGTGTGTGTGTGTGTGTGTGTGTGTGTGTGTGTGTGTGTGTGTGTGTGTAGGCCACAAGAGGGTGCTAGATCCCTGGAACTGGATTTCAAAATAGTTGTCCTATGGGTGTTGGGAATTGAGCCCAGGTCTTATGCAACACCAAGAAACAGTAAGTGCTCTTAACCATGGAGCCATTTCCCTAGTGTCAGTTGGCCAATGTTATTAAGTCTAGATGTTACTCAGCTTGTAAGGAAATATGGGAGACCACCTAATTTAGTGGCATTTCATTTTACCATGGACATAATGGGGTTGCAGGCAAAGAAAGTACATGTATTAGAACTATTTCTGGCATGAGATACTCTGCCATCTCAGAAAAGGAGGTGGTACAGAGAGAAGATGCTGAGATTTGGGCTAGACTAATTCACACTATGCAATGGAGACCCTCCAGCATTTGTTGGTCATGTTCTACTACCTTGTTTCTAAGAGTCTCTTGAATACACAAAGTATATACAAACCCGAAAGAGAAACGGCCTAGTCCTAAACCATGCCTGCTGCTCTAAAAGTGCCTAGTTCCTCCCTTCATCTGTACAAAGCAGCTGTGACTACCTAGTTATCTCCTCTTCCACAACCTTGTCTGTACCTTTGACCTACTTTTTTTTTTTTTTTTTTAAAGCAAATACTGGGACGGGAGGTACCAACTACCAACTTTATACAGTACAAACTATCTAGGGAAATCTTTCTAGTACCAGCATCTGGAGCATCAAGGAAACAAAAATTTTCTCCCTATTCCTTCTGACCCTTTTTGGTTTTTTTATTGTCTTTTTTTTATTTTTTAAGGGTTTCACTATGTGTCCCAGGCTGACCTGGAGTCCACTATGTAGACCAGTCTGCCTCTGGGGTTAAAGGCACACCCCAACCCCTATTCTTTGTAACTTTTACTCTCCCATAGCAAACCTAAGGCCTGGACTGAGTCCTTAGTGCACACAGTCCGTAAATGATTCATGGAAGGAAAACCAGTGAATCCATACAGGACCTATCTGCCTACATCTTCGCTACCAAAGTAACTACTGAAGGTTTTTCCTCCTCTATGGAGCCTTAACCACTGCCCCAGTATCTGAGACTAGCTTTCCACAGCACCAGTGACAACTAGATTTCAGCTCAGGGATGGGATGGGCAAAGGAGAAATTCATCCAACAAATAAAATAGGTACTTTTTCATATGCCAAGAAATTTCCAAAGTGTTGAGTCCACAACACTGAATAAAACAATGCCCTGCCCTCACAAAATTTACACTTCTTTCCTATAAGAGGCTTCAGCAATGAAAGTGAGTAACACATTTGACCTCAGAGAAAACTAGAACCATAGAGCTGGGGGTATAGCTGAGTGAGAATATTCACCTAGCATGTACAAGCCTCTTGTGTTTTCGTCCTCAGCAACACACACACACACACACACACACACACACACACACACACACACACACAAAAAAAAAAAAAATTTTAAAACCAACTATAAAACTAAAAAAAAAAAAATAACAAAGGGCAATGTCCTTTCAGTTGTTCAAACTTTGCCAATAAAACAGTAATTATAAAGAGAGAGAAAGCGGAAATACAATTTCTTTAACCATGCGTCTGCCTTGGTCCATCTCCAAAGCCCCTCCTCCTTTATTTCCAGGGCAGGTGGCAACTCCCACTCTCTGGGGTTTATTTGCATCCAAAGGTTCCTGTGGCACGCAGGTCGCCAGGCCAGTCTTGCCCTGTGCTGTCATTGGCATTCCAAGATGAGTACCGCGATTTGAAGTAGAAAAGCAGGACATAAGGTAGACACCTGACTCTCCCTGCAGCCTGGTAAAGCGAAAGGCAGAGGCCCTTGCTTGGCTAAAGTAGCTGTGTTTCATCCACACATGTTAGAAAAATGTTAACATAAGGAGAGGGGCAGAATAGAAAAGCCAAGACTTAAGCAACACTTTTTTTTCAGGAAACAATAGAAGCTTTAGGGAACATGTCCTTTTCTAGGACAATAGAGCTTTGCTGTTAGGATAATTTTGCAAACAAGATTTTTAAGATGAAGCTACCTAGGTCTTTGGAATCTGAGTTCTAACAACTAAGTTTTCATCTCTCCAGGATACAGCATGTAAAAACTCTTAGGAAGGGAGTCCTGTCTTCTCCCATCATCCAAAGCCTATGAATCAACCTAGTCATGTGTCTAATTGTACCATCAAGCACATCTCGGGGAACTGGAATCTATTAGTACTTGATTTCAACCAGTTGGAAATGAGAGTGAGGGCAGACTACTCATGTAAATACCAGAAAACTGGGACCAAGCCATCTTGACAGACTCCCAGGCAACGGGGTCTGATCACCGAAGGTCTAGGGACCAGATCCAGCCCTTTTGGCCTGGCCATGCCTCAGAGGGATTAGGAAGTTAGGCAGCATCCTCACGGCCTCTTCCTCTCCTGTGTGTGTGTGTGTGTGTGTGTGTGTGTGTGTGCACGTAAGGGAAAAAGACACTATAGTACACAAGGTTGCTTGGGAAAATGGATTATTCTAATAAAACTTTATTTTTTCAAACACAGCCACAGAGGCAGAACCTCATGTTTTAACACACACAGACTTATGGATTTTTTAATATAAAACAAAGTTTACGAAAAATGTTGTCCACTTTTTGTTTCTGTAATCCCATTAGCACAGGGACTTTGGCAGCAGGTGGGATGAAGGGCAGCGAGGGCTGCCAGTGGGCAGTCACCGGGCACAGGAGGAGCGCGTCAGCCTGGGAGCGGCTTCCCTCACACACGCAGTACTACTCACCTACTGGCCAGCCACACCACACACGCAGCACAGATGCAGACATCACCACAGCCTCAGCCACAGCCCCGGAGGTGTGCTCCACTCTGGGGAAGCCCAAGGGTGAGAACCCGGATAATGAAACCGGCTAACGTAGAGGGAGGTTGCTCACTTTACCAAGGAAGCAATCCTAGGCTGCTTTTAAATGGCCAGCAGTCCAAATGCATTAAAAAACAGCCTTTGGTTTACACAGAACTGTTGGAACAGATCTATTGTGTAAAGCAAAATGATTCACGTCTTGAAAAGGCTTGTTCCAGGGCCAGAGGCATTTGAACTGGGAAGCAAGATGATAGTTCTGCCTAGTTTAACATTCCAGACTTAAAGGAGTGGAATCAAAATATGACAACTGCAGGCCTCCTTCCCTAAGGGCGGTGACCTAAGGGCTTGGGGAAGCCAGGATGGAGGCAGAACCGTTACCATCACTTAAATGTAGTAGGGCCTTGCAGAGACCCCACTGGCACTGCCAGTCACCTACCGGAGGCTGACACTGCCATCTGCAGCAGAGCCCAAGGATGAGGATGCCCCAGGTGGAAAAGAAGCTGGCACCAGGGAAATTATGGACCAGAGAGGGAGAACCGGGGAAGGATGAAACCAAGGATGGGTAAAACTCCTGGGCTCAGTTTCCCTGGATTCTCGAGAGAGCCTCTCTTAGGCCCTTAGAGACTGGTAGCCCAGTGGTAATATGTGGTAACTAGCCAGGAGAAAGGGAGGAGCCCTGGAAAAGTAGAACCAGAGGGCCACAGGCTCAAGAAGACATGGCTACCTCCCCTGAAGACACCCTTGAAATGGAACAGAAAAATGCCCTTACTATGATAAACGGGAAGGGCAGGTCCAAATGCATTATGCAGGGTGTTCTAAACAAAGCCTCGCAGACTGCAACAGTAGCAGCTTCTCTATGCATGCCTCCTGGTGCCAACCCTACCAGGGTATCTGCAGTCTTAAGTCCATGACTGTGGCCACTGGGACCCGCTGCACCGGCTGCAGTTGTGGGTAAGAAACAAAAAAGGAAATCCAATCCAACAACAACAAACTCCCAGCTGCTTCTCAGGGCCTTCGCCTCACGCATCCCCAGCCAATCCCTCGGTGCACCCCAGCCTCTCCGTGGTCTCGCAGGACCAATTAGAGGCAAATAAACATTTCCTGGCAAGAGTGGAAGACAAGCAAACTATGAAACGCTCAGCACCCTTCCTCTTGCTCGAAGATCAGAAGGAGACTGGGCCTAGATCTTGCAAGAAGTTTCCCTACAGCCAGCTTCCAAAGGCGGTGCTGGGGTGGGGATCCAGGATTTCTGGGGACTAAATGTCAGTGCTCCTGCTACTGGTCTGCCTCAACATATTCTGGGCACCAACTCTGCCTCTGACTTGAAAGATCAGAACATGAGAGGGTCCCCTTGGTGAAGGAAAGAGAGAACTCCTCAGTTCGGCCTCAACTGCCCTTGCTTGCACCTACTCAGAGAACAAGGGAGGCAGGCTGTGTACAGCTTAGATAATCTGATGAACACAATGAATGCGACCTTCCTACAAGCCCTCCGTCCTAGATTTATCTAGTGGGAGAGGGCAGGACTGAGGAAAAGACCATTAGCTGAGGTCACTGGACTTAGACCCCAAAACAGAGCCGTCTGCAGAGCAAGTAATGCTATGAACTTAAAAGCCTGGCTCCAGAGCGATTAAGACCAAAAAAAAAAAAAAAAAACAGAGCCCCTCTACTCTTGACACCTTGAACAAGCCCAACGTCATATTAAAAGAGAGAAAGAAAGAAGCAAGTCAAGATTCTGGGGGCATCCTGATGCTCTGCTGTTAAAGGAGCAACTGCCTTCCTTCCCTAAGGCGACACAAACACACCTTTCCTCAAGTACACGCCCATGCACACACACGCACTCACACAATTTCTCCGAGGCGGCTGACTGAACGCCCCCACCCTGGCCAAATTCTAAGACACAAGTGCCCTTTGAAGCAAAGGGGCTAGTGAAATTCCCCGAGCTGGGGTCAGGAGACCCCTCCTACCCTGCCCAGTGCTCTCAGCGGCAGGGATACTCACACTCAGGGCCGCCATGGGGAGGGTCTGCTCGGGGGCTGTCCCCCCGCCACCAGCTCCGTTTATCTTGTCCCGGCCAGTCTCTTGGCATGGTCGAGCTTGCTGGAGCGAGAAGACTCGGGCTGCCCTGAGTCAGAGCCCTCCACTCACCCCCTTTCCCAGGCTGGGCCCTCAGCCTTGGGGCCTTCACACGGGTTAGTAGCCATTAGACAGTCAGTCTGTGTGGCCCCAGGAAGCAGCCTCTCCGTTTTAGTTTTCCTCAATCAGGTTCAGGTCCAGGTCCCCAAAGTCCTGCTGGCACAGTGTCCGCTTGTGTCGTGCCTGCCGACCCCACCGCACTGCCCCCTCTTCTTCCTCCTCGCTTTCACTCTGCGCGTGGGACGAGCCCTCAACAGGACTGCAGGAAGCAGAGAGAGGTGGGGGGCTCCAGGCCATGAACCACGGTGGAGAGGCGCTGCTGTCTTCCCGAGCTGTTTCTTGGAGACAGAGACCTCCTCCTGAGTATGGTTTCTGTCAAACAGCAACGTTGACACAAAGACGTTAATTTCCCAAAGTAACATAAAATTTCAAAAGTTCCCCACTGGTTAGTCTCTGTGTAGGGCGTTTGGCTTGCATGCATGTCTGTGTGTGATGTGGATAGAAACAACGCCTGCAGGGACCGGCAGAGGGCGTCAAGTCCCCCGGAACTGGAGTTACACCACGTGGGTGCTAGGAATCAAATCCAGGTCCCCTGGAAGAGGACCTGTGCTCTTAACCACTGAGCCATGTCTCCTGGCCCTCCAAAAATAAATTTTAAAGTGTCTCAGTTACACTCGAAGGCAGAAATTCTAGGTTTTAGAGTGAGCTTCCAAATTATAAAATTTGAAACATTTAGTATCCATGTACTAAATTTCTCTAAGGAAAGAACTTCAGTTTCCACTTTTTTAATCCCAGTAGTTGGGAGGCAGAGGCAGGCAGATCTCTGAGAGTTCAAGACCAACCTGGTCTACACAGTTGTGTTTTGGACTACAATAATTAGACCCTGTCTCAAAAAACCAAACCAAGCGTGAACCACAGCAAAGCATGGAGGCCTGGGGGCTGAGTGTTAACACAGCGCCCGAGCATTGGCATAGCGTGTCTAAGGACACAGGTTCACTCACAGGCGCCACAAAAAAGAATGGCGCTGTGAGTCATGATGGGGCATGGGGGGGATCCACACTCTCCTAGCTCAGGAGGCTGAAGTCAACCTGGGATAAATAGAAAGACCTTCTCTTTAAAACAAACCAACAAATCCAAACACACTCATTTATAAGCTCCACGAGGTCAACACCACCATCTGCTTTTTGGCCACTCTGGCCTGCCAGTGCCCGGGAAAAGCCCAAGTACATCGATTTTGCCATGAACGCTTCCCAAATGGCTGAACGACTAAAGGAACAAATTCTCAGAGACCCGTGACCCAGTGGTCTAGAAAGCAAACCGTGGACAAAGTGGAGAAGCACACGCAGCAGCTGCTCTCGGGGGGGGGGGGGGGGAGCGGGCTTGGGAGAGCCGTGGAGGGCTCCACAGGCTCACAGAGGCAGGACGTGCAGGGAGCACGCTCAACCCTACGCACAAGGGGCGGACTCTGGTGACAGGCCCTTTGTGGCTTCAGAGTTCTCGGGGGTGGGGTGGGGGTGCCTCTGGCAGGACAATCGGGGATCCCTGCCGGAAGGTTAACGTCTCAGCCTAGTTTCCCTGAACATCAAGGGTTAATCTGACAAGGCACAAGACTTTAAAGGTTCCGAATCAAAGGTCCCAGGCAAGCCAGATGGCCTCCTAGAATAAACTCTGGAGACCAGGAGTTCCCAGGGATGCCTTTAAGAAGGCCTCCCCAAGTCCTCCCACTCTCCTCTCCGCTCCGCTGGCCTGCCAGTCCCACCTGATTCATCTTGTCGAAGTCCAGGGAAGGCCGCAGGCGCCGGGAGTCCTCTTCGTGACGCCGCTTGACCCCAGTTTTGCGGGCATCCAGGTCACAAGGCTGTGAGCGGCTTCGGGGGAGGCTGCGGAGACCTCGAGGTCTCCAGGGCAGCTCCGGGGAAGACGCAGGGGAGCTCCGGGCAGAGGGCAGGAAGCGGCTGGCCTGTGGGCCCAGGCTGGGGGACAGGGAGAAACGGCGCTGGGGTGGGCAGGGTGACAGGGACTCAGCATCGCTCTCCCAAGAACCATTCTGCGGGGAGGTGGCGCAGGGCTGAGCGGACTCTTGGGCCAGGGCCAGGCTGAAGAAAGGAGGGCTGTAGGGTCTGTGGGCTGGGGCACACTGAGAAGAGGCACTGGGAGCTTGGAGGAACCTGAGGCTGGAGACCCGCTTCGGGGGGCTCTGGTGAGGCACCTGCGGCCCACCCCCTCCAGCACTGCCCCGGTGCTTGATGGGAGTCCACAGCTTGGAGGGGGCGGGCCGCCACACCGGCTGCCAGCGAGACAGGTCCACAGGCACCGAGAGGGAGCGGCAGTGCCTCTTGGATGGAGGAGCAGGGGGCACAGGAAGCTTCTCTGGGTCTGGGGGTTCAGGGCTTAGGACTTGGGGGAGGGGCTGCTCCTGTGGGGAGTTTCCCCGACTGGGTGGTCTGAGGTGCAGGCTCAGGCCTGAGGGGTGGTAGCTGAAGTTGAGGCTGTCCTGGAACTCAGCACAGGAACAGTGGGGCAGGCCCCTCCAGGAAGCACCTTCTGAAAGGCATTCATAATAAAAAGGATTAACAACAGCTAACAGATTACAAGAGCTTCCGCATCACACAGTGTAGCAAATACTTCGTGTGGTTTCACAAAAATCTCCATGAAGGAGGGGACAGCCGTCTAACTTGCTCCGAAGTGTAGCTATCAAATGAACAAAACAGGACTCAGACTTTACTATATTGCGCTACCTTCATCCTAAGAACCCACCTGGAATAAAGGACATTTACCCACCATCTGCCACTTCCTCTCAAAGGTACAATCGTCAAGAGAAACCTGCATGTCTGTGTGTGTGCCCCGCTCACCCCCGGGCTCCCAGACCAGCCCAATCTTCAACCCAACCTTCCCTGCTCCCAGCCTCAGTTCTGAAAATCAGGCCTATGTTCGCCTTCTCTGGCCCTCTTCCTTTTTTTTTTTTTTTTCCATGACAGGGTTTCTCTGTGTAGCAGTCCTGGCTGTGCTGGAACTGTAGCCCAGGCTGGCCTCGAACTCACAGAGACCCGACTGCCTCTGCCTCCCGAGTGCTGGGATTAAAAGCGTGCACCTCCACCTCCACCACCCAGCCCTTCTTCCTCTCTTCTGTGCCACCAGGACCAAGGAAGGCAGTACTGTCCACAGGAAGTAATCCAGCCGCTAAGCAACTGCTTCCATCCCCAGGAAAGGCAAAGGAGATGCTGGGGGTCTGAAGGCAGAACGTGTGCTCCGAGAACCCTGAGATCCTGTGTTAATTTTGTTCTCTCGTGTTTGTTTATGTGCATACTCTGCTTCCCTTCCTCTTAGGCCTTCGTTATAAATTTTGAAAAATCAAAAAAAATTTTTTTGAGACTAGGTTTCATTATATAGCCCTGGTTGGCCTGAAATTTTCTATGTAGACCAGGCTGGTCACAAACTCAGAGATCTACCTATCTCTGCCTCCCAAGTGCTGGCGCGCGCGCGCGCGCACACACACACACACACACACACACACACAAATAAATGTAATTTAAAAATAAAATGAGGTAGAGAGCCATTGAGCAAGACATAAGATGTTGACCTCTGAACTCCATGTATGTGGACTCTTGTCCATACCCACATGTACATGTACACAAACAAACATGTACATACACACACAATCACGTGTGTGAAGGTCAGAGGACAACTTGGGGAAATCAGTCTCTCCTTCCATCATGGGGGTCCTATGGATGGAACTCAGGTCGTCAAGCACTTTATGACATCCTCCCTACCCCTTCCAATTTTTTTTCTTTCTTTCTTTTCTTTTTTTCTTCTTTTTTTTTTTTTTTTTTTTTTTTTTTTTTGAGGTGGGGACTCTCACTGAACCTGTCACTCATCAATTAGGATAGGCTGGCTGGCCAACCTGTCTCTACCTCTCTAGGCACTGGAATTATAGACTCTGCCATCGTTCCTGGATTTTATGTGAATGCTGGGGACCCTGACAAATCCAAACACACTGCAGGCACTTTATCATCTTTCTAGTCCCCCCAATTGTGACTTATTTTGAGACAGGGTCTCGTGTAACCAAAACTGGCTTCAAACTGCTACATAACCACCGGTGACCTTGAATGCGTTTTATCCTCCTGCCTTTACTTCCCCATTTAAGACTGATTTGGGGGAAATAGCTCACTACAGGACAATGGGCCTATTCCAAGTTTTCTCAAGAATTCTCTAGAAAAGGCACAAATCAAAGTATATAAAACCAGACTTGACCATAGCAAGCATTTGGTCGACAGTTCCTCTCCTTACCAGCCTTCATGAGGCAGGGGGCAGGGGTCCTTATGCCTAAGACCTGGCCTTCAGCAAGTGTTTGTGTTTTTGTTTTCTCAACAAGAGAAAGAATGTAGCTGCTTGCCAGGTAGCCCAGAAAGGAGATGTGTAGCAGCCCAGCAACACAGGTTAGAGAGGCTTCTGGCTGTCTTAGTTATGCTCATGATCACAGGCCCTCAGATTAATTCATACTCTAGGAATTTACATTTCAGATGTATTGTCACATATTAAAAATGAACTGGGGACAGTTATTTACTAACGTTCTCTGTAAAGAATAGAAAAGGAGTCTGGAGAGGTGGTTACTAGGTGAGAACACTTGCTGTGTAAGCCTGGGAACCAGAGTTTAGATCCTAACACAGATAGCCAGGCACCCACATCTGGGGCTGTAGGGTGGAGACAGGAGGATCACTGAGGCGTGCTGGCTGCCAGCCTACCTCCAGGTTCAATGAAAGACTGTCTCAAAGGAGTGAGGCGGAGGGACAGGACAGAACACCTGACACGTGTCAAATATGCATACATACACACGTGCACATACAATATGTGCACACGCGCCCCAAAATTAGAAGACTGCAAACTGCCCAAATCTCCATCAACATGGACTAGGTAAACTAATACAGATCCCTACAGTGTAGGAATGTACAACTACGTAAAACAGGAAACCACGCAGCACAGACTGGGAAAGGTACCCAGCTGCACTACGCTATAACGGAGCAGACACTAACAGAAAACTCTGCCAAAAAAGCAATAATGCAGACAGACTTATACTTGCTTCTACTTGTATACAGATATCCAAGTGCTAGCGAGATGTCTCAGAGAATAAAGGTGTTTGCTGCCAAGCCCGATGACCTGAGTTCATCCCTGAGATCTACAAAGTAGAAGCAAAGAACCAACCCAACGCCCACAGGCCATAGGACACAGACCCCGCCCCTCCATAAGTATAATTAAAAAAAAACCAAAAAACTAGAAATTATGAGTTAGGTCTAGTGACATAGACCTGTAATCCCAGAGGCTGAGGCAGGAGGTTACAAAGTCAAAGCCAGTCTGTGACATTTAGAAAAACCCTATCTCAAGATAAAGTAATCTGGGCATGGTGGCACACACCTGGAATCCCAGCACTTTAGGAGGCAGGCAGAGGAGTAGGAATCAACATCAGCCTCAACTACAGAGCCGGTTCAAGACAAAATAAAGAGTTGAGATGCAGTCCTGCTGTGGGATAATCCTTCTGTACACTGTGAAGATGTGTTGTTCTCATTGGTAATAAGGAGCTGACTGGCCAATAGCTAGGCAGGAAGAGGTTAGGTGGGAGAGCCAAACTGAGAGGGCACTGGGAAGAAGGGCAGAGCCAAGGAGTCGCCTGTGAGAGTAAAGGAAGCAGGAGATACATATGCCTTGTTGAACAAAGGTACCACCACATGGTAGAGTGTAAATAAGAAATGTGGAGGCTGGAGAGATGGCTCAGAGGTTAAGAGCACTGACTGCTCTTCCAGAGGTCCTGAGTTCAATTCCCAGCAACCACATGGTGGCTCACAACCATCTGTAATGAGATCTGATGCCCTCTTCTGGCCTGCAGGGATACATGCAGGCAGAACACTGCAAATATAATAAATAAATCTTAAAAAAAATTTTTTTTAAAAAAAGGAAGAAGAAATATGGGTTAAGACATAAGAGCTAGTTAGTAACAAGCCTAAGCTATTGGCCAAACATTTATACTTAACAATAAGTCTCTGTGTGGTTATTTGGGAGCCTGCTGGCGGGACAGAGTTGACTGGTGGGACAGAAAAACTCCACCTACACAGTCCTGTAACAGGGTGCTTGCTTAGTATGTCTTAGTCCGAGGCTCAATCCCAAGTACTACCAAAAAAATAAAAATAAAAAATAAAAAAATTCTAGTTGGATCGTTCAATATATATAAGAAACTAGTTAACAGGGCCCAAGCAAGAAAGCTCAACAGATAAAGGTAGTTGCTGTCAAGCCTGATGAGTTGGACCCCCAATCCCTAGAAACTACATAGTAGAAAACGAAAACCAACTCCTGAGGCATGGTGTTCCCTTACCTCCATATATGCACTCTGCATTCATACATGCACAGCACCCCCACCCCATGTGAAAAAGAGAACAAGAAGTTTATAGGTCAACAAGATGGCTAAAGGGTAAAGGTGTTTCAGGTCAGGCCTAATGACCTGAGTTCAATCATCCCCAGGACCCATGTGGTGGGAGAAAATTGATTCCTACAAATTGTTCTCTGACCTCCATACACTGTAGCACACATGTGCATACATTTTATATAATAAATGTAAAACAACAACAATAAACCTAATAATAGGAGTTGCCTCTCCATGCCACACACAGTTCTTAAGAGCAAAGGAAGAGCCTCATACATGCCAGCCAAATGCCCTGTCTCTGAGCCACAGCTTTCAGAAGGTACTTTTAGGGAGGAACTAGGAACTAAATGGATTGGAAACAGGAGACGATGACTTTTATCAACATAATATTTTTGCTATTTTTAAACTATGTAAATGTATTACCACTTCAAAGCAATTACATTAGAAAAGTTAAACTGATCTAGGCTCACACCTACAACCCAGCACTCAATAGCAAGACTGTTAAGAGTTCTAGGTAAAAAAAAAAAAAAGTTCTAGGTCAGCCTAGGCTACAAGATCCTTCCTCAAAAACAAAAGAATAAACTGAACATGATTTTCCTACAAGACAGTAAAACAGAGATAGATAGCACTCTCAGAAGGTGGCCTTGACAAAAAAAAAAAAAAAAAAAAAAAAAAAAAACAAGCTGGTGAGTGGTGGTAGTGGTGGTGGTGGTGGCACACTCTTTTAATCCCAGCAGTTGGTGAGGCAGAGGCAGGTGGCTCTCTGAATTCAAGGCCAGCCTGGCCTACAAAATGATTTCCAGGACAGCCAGAGCTACATAGAGAATCCCTGTCTCAAGAAAAACAAAAACAAACAAACAAAAAAAAAAACACAAGCTAGTGTGGTGGCAGGACACCTTTAACACTATCACTCTAGAGGCAGAAGCAGATCTCTGTGACTTCAAGGCTAGCCTGGTCTACAGAGTAAGACCCTGTCTCAAAACAAAGCAAAACAAAAGGCCCACTGCAAAAACTAAAGGTAGGTTAACCAGTAATGGTCATTAAAAATTAATCACAGAAATGTGTGGACAGAAGCACAAACACACATACATATAAACCACAGATTCCTTACCAGACACAAGCTGGAAAGGGTTCCCACAGTTGGATATGTCTGCATGATCAGGCAAAGGCTAAGAGAGAGATTATCCATCATTATTTGGGTTCAGGGCAAGGACACTTCTAGAGAGACCTCTTACATTCTCCCTATAATTCATGGGCTACCAGGATATTAAGAGACTCTTGTGTTGTTCTCTTCCCAAAGTCGGTGAGAAATAAGCCACACCTTTAAACATTACAAAGCCCTTTTTGCCCAAATGTTAGTATCCCTGTCCCCTTCCTCTTGGGCTGGGTTTTGAGCTGTTAGTGGGCTTTTCCAGTACAAGCATGTTTCATACAACACCGAACAAGGGTAAAATTGTAGCAACAAACTACAGCCTCCAGAAAAAAAAAAAAAAAAAAAAAAGAGGGGGAAAAATCACGAAGAAGTAGGAATACTGGTCTTTTACCAGACTGATGCTGAAGCGTGTGCATTTCAGCTCATCCAGAGTCTGCTTCTGTAGCTGCTCAGTGATCAGGGTTATCATGTTTTGCCCAGGATTTGACTTGCACACTTCGGAGCAAATGACGGATGTCTTCCCTGTCGTTCTTCCGGATCTCACTCGTGAGCCGTCTTCTGCCACTGAAGCACCATTCTAGCACCATTGGGACTTCCCTCTCCAGTCATGCCTGCTGAGTCTGCCAATCACAGAGGGATCAGCCCCAAGTAACATTAGAGATGTACCTGGTGCAGAGCTGGGGAATGCAGGGCACACATACCCCAGCATCCCTAGGCCAGGCCTCTGTAGACATCGGTAATTGATCATAGCACTCTCCCAGTGAGCCTAAAGATGGCCTCAGAAACACACTGAACTTGGCACTCTAGATATCCAGTAAAATAAACCGAAGATGGCACATTGAAGCCTATTTACCACTCCTCACCTGGCCTATGCCCTGCTGTGTCTACCTAGAATATCAGCACCACTTAGGAAACAGATTCAAATGAGAGATGCCCAAATGGTTATTTCCATACCGAATTAGCACAATATTCTCTTTATCCTACAGCCAGAAGCCAAGAAGGGAACTCTTCTCCTAAACCACAGGGGCTTAGTGCCAGGAGAGGAGCAAGGCATGGCTTTCTGCTTCAGGTCAGGATGGGATTCTGAACCCTCCTATGGCCTGAATAGCTGATACACCACTCTTCCCCAGTAGATACTGTGAGTATTCTCTTATACAATGGGAAGGAATGGTCAGGGTGGTTGGTTCCGATTACATTTCAACTGTACAGATATTAAAAACAACTCCATGACTTCATTCAACCAAGTTTTTTTCATGATCCCACTCAAAGACCATGGATATAATTAACCAAGATTCTTCCTTATGACTGAAGCAAACTATTTTTTATCAAAGAGCAAGCTTCAAAATCCCACACATTTCCTACCTGAGGGGCCTTTGGCTTGCTCAGAGGAGGGAGGTCAACAATGTCTTTTCTTTTACCTCTTCCCATAAATGACCAACAGGCAGACCCGAGGCCGTGGAGCATTAACTAGTACAGAGAAGAACCAACCAAGAAATCCAAGTCCTGAGCACACACCTGGTATCCCAGCACCTGGGAGGTGCAAGAAGGAACACAAGAGCTCATAAGGCCAGCCTGGGCTACAACCCTGCCTAAAAACAAAAAGAGAAAGCTGCCACCACCAAGTCTTAATTCAATATGCTCAGTCAGTTTTGGCTAACCACATAACATTCCTGCTTCCATGTAAAATGGGTATAAAATCTTATTCTATACCAGAACAAGGCTACATGAACTACCAAACTGAACAATTCCTTACCAACTGGCCTATAAAAAAAGTAGGAGTTCACATAGGTTCTCAAAGCCTTGGCATGCCCGAAGTGGTGATATCATTCAGATGAAGAAGGCAATAGGGTCTATCTCTGGCTAGACACCATCCTCCCTCACTTGCTCATCAAGGAAGAGCCTAAGGGCTTGGTCTCTTCCTCCTATGACCTGGGGTGGGGTAGGGGGAGACCACCCCCTTACAAAAAAAGGGGGGGTATCGTCTCCGAGGAAGGCAACAAAGAAGAGCAAAGTACCCTAGGATGTATTTGGAGTTCTTGGGAAGAAAGGTGCAGCAGTCAATCATCACTACAGTTAACTATCATTTCCATGCATAATTATTACTACCAAGGCGAACAAAGTTCCAGCTTCCTGAGACCTCCCCTCGGCTGCTTCCCTGCGTTCTGGTGGGAGAAGGTAAAGCTGGACTCTCTTCTGCTCCTATTTTCTTAACTCTGCCCTCAAAAATCAACAAGGGAAGCTAAGTGGAGACTTTTACCCTCGAGACCCCAGGCTGACCAGCCATGAGGAGCAGGGAGTGAAAAAACTTTCAAGCTTTTCATGAGGCATTTGGACCAACAGTAAACTCCCAGGCCTCTCTAGGAGCAGCTGAAGAGAGTGATTTTCTATTTTTCTGCATTTTAATTGTTGGGATGTGGCCACACACAGCGGTAATTGGAACAATGCAACTACCACCACGCAACTGATACTCTCAGCCCGAGTTTCCTAAAACAGGCCAGGCTGAGAGGGGGAACAGAACGGAAGCCATAAGGAATCAAACCAGGACACAAAAGAAGGCAAACCAGCTCTGCAAGGGGTCTCCTCGTTCTCAAGCAGACATTAAAAAAAAAAAGTGTGAGAAGGTCTCTCTGGCGGCCTTCCTTCCCCTTCCATTTTGTGTATCTGAAGGGTAGACAGCCCTCAACATGGACTAAACAAGTTAAAACTTCTCAGCTTCACATTACTGGCACAAGGCTCAGCCCTTCACTGAGCAGCAGGCCGCTCGGCCCTCCCAGCAACCCCACCAGGCCCAACTCTCAACCCAGGGTCTCGCTCCACCACAAGCCCCCTAAGATAACGACTAGACACCCCCCAACGCCTATTGGATGGAAGGAACCCCTGACACTTGTGTTTCAGGGAGACTGAGGTTGTGCTGAAACCTGGACAACCTAGGATCGAGTCAGGCCAGGGGAAAAGAAAGTCATAAATTCCCTGGGGGCATTCCCCCCCAGGTCCCAGTCCCAAACCTCTGGGAGAAACTGAAGGAAAAACATAAGCGAGGGAGGGAGGTGGGGGGAAAAGCTATCAGACTGCTCTTCTTCCATATGGTGCTGCTGAAGACAGGGGTGACAAGTGGGGTGCACCCATCCCCCCACCACGACGAAAAAGCAAACGGCTGGGCTCCCTCTAATCTTCAACCTCTCCCTCTGTTGCCCTGCCTGTCCCCGCGGGGTGGGGCATGGGGCATCTACTGGCCGGGGGAGGGGGGGTGTGCGGTGGGGGGGGAGGGCACTCCAGGGTTTGCTCAGGGGGGACTGTCGCTCTCCTCTTCCCATTCGGGTTTCCCCCTCTGACCGCGGGAAGCGAACTCAGGACGCAGAGGATGGGGAGGGTCCGGGACATGCACTCCGCCACCCCCTCCCCCAACCGGGTCCCGTGCTCTCCCGCCGAGGCGGCCTGCGAGGCTCGGCCGCGCCAGCGGCTGGCCTGGGGGAGGGGAGGGAGGAGAGGGAGGGAGGGAGGGGACGGTCGCGGTGCCCGCCCCGAGGCCCCAGCACCACCTGCCCTCCGCTACCTACCGCGGCTCCTCCAGCTCCCAGGGCCGCGGCCGGAGCAGCTCTGAGCGCTCCGTTCGCCCCACGGTGCCCTTAAAAGGCGCTGGCGCGAACCAACGCGCCCTCGAGGAGAGTGGGGGGGTCGCTCCTGTTCGCCGAACCCCCCCAGAGCCGCCCGAAGAGACCCGGGCCCTCTGTGGTTCCCCCCTCAAACCTTTCCAGCGTGCTGCCGTCGGGAAGGAGCCTAAGCTACGATCTGGGGACGGGGTGGCGTCCGCACGAACCAATCACCCCCTCCAAAAGATCGCCCAGAGTGGACGCGCCCAGTTGGAAGCATATCCTGAAGCCCGTAGGGGAAGCCATGTCGGATAAAGGTAAACAAAGCCAGTGTCCAGTCCTTCCAGTGCCCCATCTTCCCAGCTGAACGGTCTCGCTTCACTCAGACCCCCCAAACGGTATTAGCCACAGCCTTCTCACCTGGTCTCCTATCCCTTCCGAAACAGCCATCTTTCTGTAAGCATCCACCCCCTTCCCCCGGCAAAGGACCGACCCTCAGTGCGAAGGCTGCTGGGAAATGTAGTCCAAGCGCCGATCAGGGCCTGCTCTGGGTCCCTGGAGCGCCTCTTCTAGCTGCGGGATCTGCTGGAACCTTTATAAACCTGGGATTTATAACGGTTGCGGGGCTGTGTCCTCTTGTTCCCGTCATTTGTTCTCACCCAGAATACTTTGTAAAGCTGAGGCGGGCCCGAGGCTGTTCACTCCCTCCCTTCCCTGTCCGCCTCCCCCTCCCCCCCCAGCAGGATGAGGTAATGGGATTGTGATTATGACATCATAGGTGGTTCAATCGCGGGGGGGCGGGTGTTGTGGGGGGAGCACGGTGGTTATGGCTGGACCACTTAAGACAGCGAGAGAGGGAGGAAGCTGGCCTATGAGGAACCGGTGTCGACTGTACTATATTTCCGCTTCAGGAACTGGAAACCACTTTTTATTAAATCTCCTCCATCATCTCCCACCTCAGCCAAAGTTTTAAGTCCTTTTTCAAGAACTGAATGTTGATGTCAGTAAGGGGGGGGGACCCCATAGAGGTTCCTGGCTCTTCTGTAAACTAGAGTCTCAGGTAACAAAAAAAAAAAAGTTTTCAATAAATGTTCTCGTGCTGTGAGCTCTAGGAGGGCAGACTTTTAGTTTCCTTTTTAATTGGTTAGAAAATGGTAATTCAGTCACTTCATTATTACAGTAGTAGCAGCAAGTCCCTAAAAAACGTGTGTTTTCTTTGACTGTTCCCTACCCTACGTGTCTGGGGCAGGTAAACAGCAGTAGACCGCGTGCTGTGCTGGGGATCCTCTTTGAGCTGGGGAGGGGAGGAAACGGGACCCTTAAGTATGCACACTGGAAAAGAATGAAAAAAAAAGAATAAAGCATTAATCAAATAGTGGAGGTGGAAAGTCAGGTTTGGTGGCACACATCTAAGATCCCAGCACTTGAGAGGGTAGAGGCAAGCCTGGTCAACATTTCAAGTGCAGGGGCCAACCAAGGTTACACAGTAAAACCTAAAAAATAGGGGGGGGGGGTGGAGATTTATATTGCATTGCACATTTGACCAAGAGTACAGGAGACATGGTTTCCAGCAACTGCACTGTGCTACAGACTCTATTGACTTTATTACTTGTTTTTGAGACAGGGTCTCATTCAGCTTCTTCAGGCCTCAAACTTATTATGTAGCTAAGGATGTCCTTAAACTCTGTTCTTCCTGCCTCAGACTCCCAGATGCTAGGATTACAGACATGAACCCCCATGTCTAGTTGCACTATATATTTTTTGTTTGTTTGGTTTTGGTTTTGGGGGATAGGGTCTCTTTGTGTAGCCTTGGCTGTCCTGGAACTTGCTCTGTAGACCAGGCTGGCCTCGAACTCACAAGAGATCCACGTGCCTTTGCCTCCCTAGTGCTGGGATTAAGGGCATGTACCACCACTGCCTAGCTTGCACTATATACTTTAAGTAAATATATTTGTCATTTTCCTTTCAATCACCAAATGAGAAAAATCAACAACAAAACCACCTGAAAGGCTGAATGATTGCCCAAATAGTAGGTAAAGGCTGTATCAAAATCTGAGACTCTAACACCTTGTATTTTCTTTTTTGGTTTTGTTTTGTTTTGTTTGTTTGTTTTTTGTTTTGAGACAGGGTCTCGCTGTGAACATCTGGCTGTCCTAGAACTTATTGTGTAGACCAGGCTAGCCTACAATTCACTGAGCTCCTCCTGCCTCTGCCTCGCCAGTGCTGAGATTATGGACGTGGACCACTATACCCAGTGTCACCTTGGTCCCTTTATTCCTAGCCATGCTTACTAAAGTTAAATGATTGTGTGAAAGTTAAGTTAGCATTGAAGAAACTGAGTCAGACCCTTGAGAGAAGCAGGAGGATTGCCATAAACTCAGGGCCACCCTGGGTTACATAGTGAATTCTAGGCCAGCCTGAACTACAGAGTAAGGTGCTACCTCACCTCCCCACCACCACCGAATAAATAAATAAAATTAAAAAGAAAGGAAGGAAGGAAAGGAGATAAAAACAAAATAGTCCTAAGGACAAGTAGATAATTTAGCTCAATAATGCAGGACAAAAGAAAACTGCAAAAAAACAAAATTTAAAAACACTGCAAGTCATGCGTAAGGGCACACCATGTTTCATAGTGTGACCTGAGACGGCCTACCAGTAGAGCTCAGCCCTGCCCAGATTTATGCCTCTCAATTCTCATGGGTGGTTTTGATTGCCATGCCTTTTTTGTTGTTTCTGTTTGTTTGTTTGTTTGCAGGTCTTGTTATTTGGCCACAGGATGTAATGCGGCTGAGGCTGGCTTTAAACTCCTGACCCTTCTGTTAATCTCTGTAATAAAGAACTCTTAATGTTTTATCAAAATCAAGCTTTAAATGACAGAAATAAACAGCTCCTGATCCTTTGCTTTCGCCTGCCCAGTGCTGGATTACAGGGGTCAGCAACCTGCCCAGTCCCTTTGTGGACTTTATTTGTGGGAAAAGAGACCAAACAGGTCCATATGCATTCAGGCAAGCCCTCTGTCTCCAGCCCCCATCTCCTTTGGACCCTGCCTTCTGCCGTCATAGGTCAGACCCTGTCTGTTTCCCTGATCCGGTGGGTTTTGGCAGAGGACACGGCCTGGGCCTCTTTCTGGCCTCTGTCCCACTTCTCTGAGGATTCCGGGGCCTGGGGCCGGCCAGTCATGCAGGAGTAGCATCCACTGGCCTTAGGAAGTCTTAGTTGCCTTCCTAGAGAGGTGGCAGAGTGAGAGGACATGAGCTCATGCAGGTACTCCCCACCTCCACCCAATAAAACCCGAGTCTTTTGCAAAGTGGAGAAAGCAGGGCTCGGCCTACACCACCCATAGAAGGAGCCAGGCTAGTGAACACACCCTCGGCCTCCCTGTCATGCAGAGGCTGGTTTGGGGGGGCCCAGATATGCAGGGCTCGTCTCCATTGCCTGATCTGGGCATCCCAGGATTGGCCGCTGTGCCTCCTGTTTTTGTTTGGTGTTTGAGGGTGAAAGCCAGGCTGTCGCTGTGACCTGGCAACAACAAATATGGGTCAGATGGAGGTCAGAGAAAAGGGATACTGCTCATGGCTTAGCACAGTGAATCGGAGGCCTAGACAGGAATCACTCAAGGACAGGATAATAGGGCTGGAGAGATGGCTCAGAGGTTAAGAGCACTGATTGCTTTTCCAGAGGTCCTGAGTTCAATTCCCAGCAACCACATGGTGGCTCACAACTGTCTGTAGTTCCAGTTCCAGAGGATCTGATAGCCTCTTCTGGCCTCCACAGGCATGCATGTGGTACACAAACATACATGCATGGAAAACACCCATACACATAATAAAAAATTTTTAAAGTTAAATGAACAAAGAATAATGAAATACATTCATATAATGAAATTATCACAGCGAAACCCATTCCCTGTATACCAACAAAGAAGTTTAATAAGAAAAGAAACATGGTGGGGGGCCAACAAGACGGCTCAGGGAGCGGCTGAGGACCAAGTGTGAGCCCCAGAAGAGCCCGTGCTGGAAGCAAAGACCCAACTTTTGAAAGTTATCCTCTGACTTTGACAGGCACATCTGCACTCACCCATTAAATAACAGAACAGAACAAAAACTTCAGAAAAAAGAAACATGGACAAGCTTTGAAAGTCTTCTGGGTTAAGACTTCTTGTCTACTTGAGAGAAATCTCGAACTTATTTTTGGGGACTAGGTTGTGGGAGAATTAGTCATTCCTCACCTTTGCCCGAGCACTCCAAAGTTTCCAGCTTTCTTTTCCTTACTTGACAATGAGCTGCAGCCATTTGGCTGACATTCTTGTGGTGACCACCCACAGCTGCCCTCCCTTGAGGACCTGCTGTAACTAGGTAGCACTGGTAACCAGGTGCACTGGCCCTATCTACCTGGGTCTGCAGGGGCCACAGGACCACTTCATCTGTCCCCGCTTCCCACCTGCGGGGAAGGATCCTCCGGTACCTCGGAAAGGATGACTACAGCCATCCAAGCAGAAATAAACACATCTCACACTCCCTTACCCCAGCCTTGTTTTCCAACTTACCTGGCATGACAAGGCTCTGTGATGACTCCCACACTTACCATCTCTATCCTAGAGGACAAAGACTTTCCGCACACCTCCTTTCTGGGGAGGCAGTTTCTGCAGATAAAAAGGATATTTTTTTTAAATACATCATGCATTTTTTTAAAGATTTATTTATTCATTTCTTTATTTAGTATGCATGTATGTCTACGGGCCAGAAGAGGGCACCAGATCTCATTACAGATGGTTGTGAGCCACCATGTGGTTGCTGGGAATTGAACTCAGGACCTCT